TGAGCTGCATGGGAGGCTCCACACCTAAACCTCAACTCTTCTTCACGTGATGGCAGTATAAGAAGACAAAGGAGGAGATGACAACGTTATCGAAAATGACTGGTAACTCTTAGGTTAAACTTAGTGTAGTTTATAATTCACTATTTCACACCAACCCTAGAACTTTAGCCGCCGCCATTGTTTTGCTGAAGTTCACTGTTTTACAGGTTTTTCTTATCAACCGAGCTCAAAGATTGAAGGCCAAGAGAGAGTTCGTGACACAGCTAGAGACCGAATACTTAGGGCCTGTTTGATACCTCTGAATGTGATTATCCGGCCAAAGAAAAATGTAATGTAATTATCCGGCCAAAGAAAAATGTGAAGTGTGACAACAAACTATGGCAATCAACTGAAAAAGCATGCTATAATATATTGCATACATGCAAGTGTTATGCAAAAACTTACAAAATGGTGGAAACAAGCCCAAATTGAATTTGAACCATGTCCCATGTACATAAATAATGCAAACCATCTCATGTAAAAATCGATAAAATGTTCCTCATGCGGTAGAGAAACTCGTGAAGAAATTAAAGAATGATCAAGTGGTGGGAGAAAATGACGAGTATGACCCCAGCAAGTCCTCCGATAGTCATGAAACTCAAGTGGGCGGCACGGTTTATCGGTGGTGGTGATGGACGTGGACGCGAGGAGTTTCCATTGTTTGGGGGCAGAGTTTCGGACAAGCTGCTATCAGAACCTGGAATTTTAAAGAGTTGAATGCAATTTCAAATTGAGTGCATTCTCACGGCCCATATATACATACATAACATGCGTACTACACTAGCAAAGAATACGAAGAAACCAAATACTCACAATCAGATTCTTTCCAGCCCAAAACCATCTTCTCGCGATCAAAGACCATGCGGTACCCATTCATAAAATTTCTGGGAAGAATTCAAATTATTAACATATATAAGAAGTTCGTGAATAAGGCAACATTCATTTCAAATACATGGTTACAATACTCACGTCCAATGACGTTAATACTCCTGCTTTTGACAATAGCCAAACAATACGCGTATCCATATAGAAAATCTTCGCACATTTTTTTAGGGTAAATTACAACTACCCCTGAGGTATGATTAAAGTACGAAAATCCCGCTATTTTTTGAATAATTACATACTATCCTTCAACTATGAATCTTCTTACACCTCCCACTCTTATGGTGTTAAATTCAACATAATCATCTAGATTATGTGGAATGTGCTCTAGTTTGTACTCGTTTTGTATAATAACACAGTTTCTAATGCACCACAATCTGATGTATACAAACTAAACTACACATCTTATGATCACCTCGCTTCAAAATGTAGAATTGAATGGAATAAATCGGGTACAAAATCGATAATATTCCATATAATCACGAAGATTCCAATAAATTTGAAACCGCAAGGATGGACATATAAGAAAATTTATAGTTGAGCGGTGGTTGTAATTACCCAAACAGGAAGGGGGTTTTCAGAATTTGACCATACCCCAGGGGTGGTTGTAATTTACCCTTTTTTTTTACGATGTAATTTTTTTATACCATTTATTCCCTAAATAAAAAAAAATTCTCACATCACGTGTAATCCCAATTGTTGGTGCAGTAACATTAAATTGGCTTCCAGTTCCACCTTTCATTGTCAAGGTCAAGTTTGGGGTTACATACACTTCTTCAGTTGCACTGTAGTGAACATATATAAATCATGAGGCGAAAGTGATGATTCAGAAAATAATTTACCAGCTGACATAAGAGGTTGTTGAGAAGTTAAACAAACCCGAGATCATAGCAATAGTTCAGCTTAGTCTCGCCTGGAATTTTATAAGGTTTCTCGGTTATTCGAGAATTGAACTGCAAAAGAAGAAAGTAGAATCAGGGTTCGGACTTTCATAGACTAAAAATAAGATACCATGGACAATGAAAAAACATTATTATATGTATAACTTACATTGTTTACAATAAACGAGTAAGCTGGCTCGGTGAAGTATGTATATGAGATAGCAGAGTCGAAATTTGCGGTGAACTCAAGATTGGTCATGTTATTACCCACAGTAATTTGTGTCACAGTGAGAACGAATTTGCTGTAAGACCTTTGTTAGCTAAAATGCTAGGCACAGATATACTATCCATATTAAGCCCGCATACACCATTTATAGCAGCACTGTCCAAGAAATAACCGGTAACGTTTTTCCCACATCTGAAACACAAGATATACTCATTAAAGCTTAGTATAGAGGCATATGAGAAAAGAAGAAAAAAATAAAGAATTTCTAGGTACGACCACATGGCCAACAATGTAAAAGAACAAGGTTGTTGTTCGAATCCTTTTGGTTGCGGTGTTGTAAGGTCATGTTATATACGGCTAAACTTTTTTATTTTTTTTAAGAAGCAAAGAAATGAATGAAAGTGGATTAATTTTTTGAGTTGTTTAAAACGAAACATAACTCGTTCTCCACACAATATATGTGCGAGAAGTTTCTAGAAACCTTGTTCAAGGCTAAATTCTAGAATTATATTTGACAAAGTTGCACTATCGGTGACAACGCAGAAGTTCTTGAATTGTATAACATAGCTTGTCCTCATTGAGCTTACCATATATATATATATATATATATATATATATATATATATATATATATATATATATATATATATATCTAAGAAAGTAAGAGCTTTTTCCAGGAAAAAAAAGATAAAACGAGTATCCACCCGAATGTAATTGGGACATCGACAGGATCTTGTGGATTGGTAATTGTACCTAAATGCAAAACATCATCTACCAATATCCCTGTGCTTGAGGTGTCCCCGTATGATATTTCGTACGAACAAGCATTATACATGGTAGAGCATCCTCTTGTGGGTCCACACTTGGTGCTATTGCACGGAACTGGCGTGCTAGTTGTCGAATTACTAGGACTGTATACATTTAGTTCGATTTTCTGTTACATGAAAATTAAATAAGAAAAACTGGAATTCCGATACATGCAATATTGTAAGTTCACTGAATAAAAAAATTGTAAAATATATTTCGATTAAAATGAGTTGGTTTAAACATTAAAAGAGTGGCGTATTGGAACTTACTGTTCCCTTGGCCAAGTAGAAGTTATGTGCACAGTTAGTACAATCACATGGTAACCAGAATATGTCAGAACCCGTGTCAAGTGCCACAAAAAATTCCTTAGCAGGGGTACCCACTCTAATAAATGAATAATGCAAGCTGCATATAAATTTACGAAAAAAAAATCATATAAAACACCCTGGGCATACTTTATATATACTTAATTAATAAAAGAAAGAAAGAAAGAAAGAAAGAAAGAAAGAAAGAAAATAGGGAATAACTTACTATCCAAGATAAGTGAAGGAGTAAGTCTTGTTGCCACCGAAGAAAGTGAGGGGTTTAATTTGGTGGTGGAGGCGGCAAGGCGGCGGCCCTTGAAGAACTGATCGCGGTGGGCCATGGTGGTGTAGTAGTCTATGGTGATATTTGAGCTGTCTACATGCTAAAAGAGATGTAATTTTGCTCTTTATTAACTGAAATGGAGTTTTTAGCAAGCGGCACCATAAGTTTCGTCGGAAAAGTCCTTATGTTAAAATAATTACTATTTATTCCCCTATGATGAGAAGTCAAAGCCCATGCGAGCTGATCTACACGCGTCGATTATGCGACTGAGAGTGTGGTTAAAAATCCCTATATTAAAACAATTAGCATTTTCCTAATGATGAGAAGTCAAAACCAATAAAGCCCATTCGAGTGGATCGTGTGCTACATGCGTCAGCTATACGACTGAGAGTGTGGTTAAAAGTCCATATGTTAAAACAATTAGCATGTATCCCCTATAATGAGAAGTCAAAGCCAATAAAGCTCTTTCGAGTTGATCGTGTCGATTATGCGACTGAGAGTGTGTTTTTTGACATGAAAAGACTCAAATACCCTTTAATAAAAAAATACAGATTGACCCCGAAAAAAGTCTTCTTTCAATTTAGTCCTTAGCATTTCTAAAAAGCCCTCTTCCCCACATCAACCGAAATCCATTTTCATCTTCCATTTTCCGGTGAGCCCATGAGATTGAATTGATGATACACATTCCCTGTTAAATACTCGAATTAAGTGATACAATATCAAGATGGATATGATTTGGATTCCCAATTATAAATTTTGAAAAGCGAAAAAAAAAAATCTTATTTTTTTTAATCAAAACTGAAAAAATAATTACAATTCCAAATGGAAATTTTCGAAATAGCATGGGCGGAATTAAAATATTCTATTGTTGTAGTCTAAGAAAAATATATAATAATATTGAAATATGAAGTGCAATTATAGAAAATAACTACTACTTCACATGTGTGATGCACGGGATATTCACTGCGAAAGAATGTGTGATTATTAATTTTTGGAAATATTTTCAGAAATGAAAATGCGAGATCGGAAACGGAAATCCAATATGTATTGAAAAAAAAGAAAAAAGAATTGGAAATCACAACTTTCGGAAAAATAATTTTTTAAAAATTGGAATTTTGGCGCAGAGAAACATTCAATTCCACTCTAACAAAATCTCTTCTCAAATAAAAGTGGCTTGATTCAAAATTGATAAACCCTACCATTAAAAGTAAGGGTTTATTCGAATTCGCATGGCAGCCAGATTCTCAGACGATCTTGTAAACGTTGACTTTGAGTCACAAACAGATTAAACTATCAATAGTAGGCATGAAACATGCTATGTTGGCCAACCGACGACTTTTTGGCTTTCAATTTCATATTATGAAGATGGTGATCATGTCTTCTTCTCTCTCTAATCTCCACTTAATTCTATTTGACTTGACAGGTTCAACTCTCCTAATTTTCTCTTTCTTACAATGTCTTATCCATTATCTTCAACAATTTTCATATTCATCATAGTATTTATAGGGGATTCATTTTTTTTTTGTTTTTTTTGTTTTCGGTTTGGATTATTTTTGGTCAATATAAAGTAATTAATGATGTGTTTTAAGAATTCAGTATTTGGGTGTTGTTTGATGCTAATAGCGTTTGCGTGTTGGTTTAATGCGGAGAGCGGCGAAGCATTTGGGACATTCGGATTCGACGTCCACCACAGATATTCCGACACTGTTAAGGAATATTTGAATCTGGATGGGTTGCCGGAGAAGGGTACGGTTGACTACTACACCGTCATGGCCCACCGCGATCATCTCCTCAACGGCCGCCGCCTTGCCGCCTCCGTCAAACCCGTCCTCACTTTCTATAGTTCTGTTGGCAACGAGACTTACTACATCAGTAATCTTGCGTAGTAAGTTATTCCCCGTTTTCTTTCTTTGTTTAATTAACTAGTATCGTAATTGGTTTGTACTGTGTGCGCGCGCACGTGTGTATATCCTAATTCGTACACGCTTTCCCTGTAAAATTCTCTTATATGTTAGAGTATTGATATCCTCGATTATGCTTATTTGCAGCTTGCATTATGCATATCTTAGTGTGGGTACTCCTAGTTTGGAATTTTTTGTGGCACTCGACACGAGCAAGGACCTATTCTGGTTACCATGTGACTGTACTACCTGTGCACGTAACTTCTACAGGATCTCGGGAAAAGTGAGTTCCTTAATCAAGTGATAATCCAACGCATTTTAATTGATATATTTTATGATGTTTTATTTATGAACTAAAAAAACCTGCTTTTTGTAAGTTATGCCTCCGTATTGCCTTGCCTCTATTGGAATTCGTGTTGTTCTTATTTAATTTTAATGTGACAGAAAATGGAACTAGCGATATACAGTCCTAGTAATTCGACAACTAGCAAGCCACTTCCGTGCAATAGTACCAAGTGTGGACCCACAAGAGGATGCTCTACCATGTTTAATGCTTGTTCGTACGAAATATCATACGGTGCTACCTCAAGTACAGGTATATTGGTAGATGATGTTTTGCATTTGGGTACAAATGTCACTCCACAAGACGTTGTCGATGTCCCGGTTACATTTGGGTGGGTACTTTTCTTTTTTCAGAGCAAAGAATTATATAGATGTAAAATACGTTGCATGCGTAATGAGAACAATTGATGTTGTCTTTTATACAATTCAAGAACTTATGTTCTTACCGTTACTGCCACTTTGTTAATTCAATTCAAGAATCTAGTCTTGATCAAGGCTTCTTCAAAAGTCTTGCACGTAAACTGTGCGGAGAACATGTTAATGTTCCGTTTTATAAAAAAAGGAACTAAAACTTCGGTTGTTATCGTTAATTTTTGAAAGTTTTGATAAATGCTACATAACCTATCAAACCTCTAAAATTTAATCCACTTCAATTCACTTCTTTACTTCTTTCTTTTCCCCCTTTTGCAAATGGTCTTATAACATGACCTAACAACAAACGCGCCCAAAGGGATTCGAACACCCGACCTCTCACCAAACCCCACTATGAGAATGCTACAATACCACTAGGTTAAACCTAAAATACTTCTATGTTGGTCATGTAATAATCTTTAATGTATATATCTTGTGTTTCAGATGTGGCCAAAATCTAACCGGAAATTTCTTAAACGGTGCTGGTATTAATGGTGTATTTGGACTTGGTATGGACAATATATCTATCCCAAGCGTTTTAGCTAACAAAGGTTTGGTAGCAAATTCTTTCTCCTTGTGCTTTGGCTCTAGTACCGTTGGAAGGATTGAATTTGGAGATAAAGGGAGTCCGGTACAGAAAAAAACTCCCTTTAATCTTCAACAATCAAAGTAAGCAACGAGTGATCACTCCTTTGCTTTTTCTTCAGTTTTTATTTTTCCATCTTTAATTTTTATCTTTCTGGCAGACCAACTTATAATATCACGGTGAAACAAATTGCTGTCGATAATAATGTGACCGATCTTGTGTTCGCCGCAAATTTCGACTCTTCTGTCTCGTATTCATTTTTCGCTGACCCAGCTTACTCGTTTATTGTCAACAACGTAAGCTATATAATAATGTTAGTTTATTGTCCATAATATCTTATTTTTAGCCTGTGCAAGTCTGAACTCTGGGCTATTTTTGTCTTTTGCAGTTCAATTCTCGAATAACCGAGAAACCGTATCACTTTCCAGGCGAGAATAGCCTGAACTATTGTTATTATCTCGGGTTCGTTTAGTTTGTCAACGACCTTTTATGTGAGCTGTTATATATTTTTTAAATCAACATTTTTGCCTCGTGATTTATATATATGCTTCCATGCAGTGAAACTAAAAAATATATAACTCCAAATTTGACACTGACAATGAAAGGTGGAAGCCAATTTAATGTCACTGCACCAACGATTGGGTTTCGACTTAACGTGAGAATTTTTTTATTTAACGTATGAGAAAATCCCATCGGAAGAAGTGCTAAGATTTTATATTCATATGCAGGAGGGTGGAAATGCATATTGTTTGGGTATTATCAAATCCAAGATTAACAACGTCATTGGACGTGAGTATTCGAACCATAAGTTTCCTTTTATTGGATTTATTTGATATTAATGCTGAAGTTTTTGTTTAACTTCTATATGGTTTTGTAGATGCTACACCCGGTGAAATACACTGGGTGATTCCGCACCATTTATGTATATATAGAAACACACACACCCATGTGTATGTGGGTTTTAGTGGGTGTATTTGTATAGATGGACGGTGCAAAATTACCCCGTGCTTTTGACCAGGTGTAGCATCTCATTGACCCTTCTATATTAACACTTTCGATTTGTTCCCAGATAATTTTATGGAAGGTTACCGCTTAGTCTTTGACCGTGAGGAGATGGTTTTGGGTTGGAAAGAATGAGATTGTGAGTTGGTTTTAATCTCTTTATGGTTTTCAATATTCTTTGCAATTCTAGTATGCATATATACTCTCTCTCTCTTATGATTTGGTTTCTGAGCTATTTCAGGTATGGGTGGTGATAAATGCAGGATGTGTATTAGTAAATATATGACATTTAAAAAAAATCAAAACCTAATATATCTGTTCTTATTTTTTCAAACTCTTTTTTATAAGTCTCCATTAACATTATTTTGGAAGAATATCACACAATTAATCATCATTAATCACCAAGAACATGAATTTATTGGTTTTGGAGGATGATAAGGCTGAAAATGAGGTAAAAATATTCATTTCGGTGCAAATTTTTTTTTCCTGTTTTCTGTGCCAAATTTTCCGTTTTCTATTTTATGTGCCAGATTTTATAATATATATTAATTTTGTTACTACTTTGGACCAGGATCATCTCGAGACGTTTAAGGAAGTCGATTATAGTAAATATTTTTCATCGAACAAAATATTTTGTAGTATAAACGAATTTAAAGAGTTTTTTCAGATGTGTTGATACTGAAAATTGTAGATAATAAATATAGTTCTATAGACAGTTAATGATAAATATTTGATGAGAATTAATTTTTATATTAAAAAATATATATAGCTACTAAAATACATTCTCAAATAAGGATTAAAAAAAAAAAAAATATGTTCTACATTAACTAAAAGGCGTTCTGTATTCGTGTAGCCACACACATATTGGGACAGTCTCTGTGCGTGTTTGTGTCCGTGTGTGTGCACGCATGTGTGCGTGTGAGAGAGAGAGAGAGAGATTGATTGATTGATTAAACATTATTGTAATTATAATTTGTATTATTTTATGAGATTAAATTCTTTATTTGATGCATATAAATCATTAATAGGCTCTTTCAAAACTAAATGTCTTAGGTTTTGATGCCATATCATCCCCGAACAATGGAAACTCCTCTCGTTCACGCCCACCACCACCGAACGGTGCCGCCCGTTCGAGTTCCATGACTGGCGGATATGTGGTTGTGATAATTGCCATTTTCTTCCACCACTTCATCATTCTTTGTTCATGAGGTTCTCTTTTACCATAGGAGAAACTTGGAACATTAATCTATCCATAGTTTTACATGGGATCAATTTCAATAATTTATGTAACACACTTTATTATTTATTTATTTTTAATTGGGGATGTATGTTAGTTGAGCATTGTGGATTTTCTCTTCAAGTTGGGCTTGTTTGTACTATTTTTCATGCTTCCTATAACACAAGTATGCAATATAATATTGCATGCTTTGTTCGGTTGTTTTGCCACAGTTTGTTGTTACACTTGACACTATTCTATGGCTAGAAAAAACAATATTACATTGAAATTTCAAAAAATTGTGATGCAGAGGTGGCAGAGTCAGAATTGGGTGGGGCCAAGTTTTTTCGAATCGGAACGATGAGGGTAGTCAAACCCACCACTACGCCGTGACGTGCGATGGATTTTGACGTTTTGAGATCGTTTAGGCCTTCAAAACGACGTTTTTGCTATTTTAGGAAACTTTTAAATAATTCATAATTAATTCTAGAAAAATCGGATTTGAATTCCGCAAGTTGGGTTGTTTCCAACTTTCGGTATTCAATTAGGTTTAGGAGTTATTTTGTTTTTTTACCTTTTTTTTGGTAATTTTCTCGTTTTCCTAGTTTGATTAGGTTTTTTGTTTTCTTTAGTATAAATAGTTGCTCTAGGGTTTATTTTTCAGCATCTTTTCATTATTAATAAAATTTCTGAGTTTTCTCTCAATTATTTGGTGGACTCCAGAGTTATCGTGTTCTATATGATTAATTCGTAGAAATTAATTCTTTGCCGTGCTTCCGTTCTGCGTTAGTTGGCATCAGTAGCGAGGTTTTTTCTGGTTAGATGGCGAAAGGTGCGAAACAAGGAGACGACAACCGCGATGGCGATGACCTCGAGGTGA